TTGAGAGGGACACATGATCACTTCTGTAGTATTCCCGTCCAAGATGTACAACATGACTCTAACCATGAGGAAAAATCAGAAAAACTCAAATTATAAAAATAACTGGCCCGTACTCCTCATACATGTCAAGGTGAAAACAGGTTAAAAAAAAAAATGACTGAGAACATACTCCAAATTAAAGAAGTCTAAAGAGATATGACAACTAAATGCAACGTATAACACTGGATTAGAATCCTGGACCATTAAAAATAATTAACGTAAATGATATTATTGAAACAAGTGGAGACATCTAAATAAAGTCTATGCATTAGATAATAATATTTCAATGTTAACTTCCCTGCTTTCGATTATTATATTATGATTAATTATTGTGATCACATACAAAATGTATATTACCTAGGAAATATACATTAAGAGTAAAGGGTCATCATGTCCACAACTTACACAGAGAGAGAGAGAAAAAGAAAGTTTCTACACACACAGCAAAATGTTAACAATTACAGAATGGGGTGAACGGTATAACAGGAATTTCTGTATTATTATTTACTATTATTATTATTTATTATTAATATTTTTTGAAATGGAGTCTTGCTCTGTCACCAGGCTTGAATGCAGTGGCGTGATCTCAGCTCACTGCAACCTCTGACTCCCTGGTTCAAGCGAGTCTCCTGCCTCAGCCTCCCAAGTAGCTGTGACTACATGCACGCGCCTCCACGCCTGGCTAATTTTTGTATTTTTAGTAGAGATGGGGTTTCACCATGTTGGCCAAGATAGTCTCAATCTCTTGACTTCGTGATCTGCCCACCTCAGCCTCCCAAAGTGGTGGGATTACAGGCACGAGCCTCCGCGCCCAGCCTATTCTTGTAACTTTTCTAAATCTGAATTTATTTAAAATCAAAACCAAAACAAAACAATAATCTCTTATGTCTGTGGAAAGGTGAGCAAGATGGGAAGATCTGTGAATTAAGGAAGAGGTTAGCTGCTTTCCCATATTGTCAGGTTGTGTGTGAGGGACAGAGGCTTCTCTGTCTGGGAGTGAATCTACCAGCAGCTTCCAGAATCCCTAAGGTAGACTCTTCCTAGAACACCCAGCATTTGTTGAGTCACCACTATGTCTTGACCCCCAAGTAGCCAGCCTCTAGAAAGGTTTTTTTTCAAGCTACTTCATTCGGGTCTCTGTAGTCAATGATCAGTCCCTAGAGACTAAGAGATTTTGACCAAGGGACTAAAAATCCCTGTCCAAACTACCTATCGAGAGGAGTCCTTAACTGTTAGCTTCATTAATGGGACCCTCCTAGAAAACCACCTTAAAACCTCAGGGTCTAGTTCACTGTGTATGTTTTTGGCTTCCAGGGAGAATAATAGAAAAGAGGCAATCTCAGATGGCCAAGCCAGAACTTCAGGTTAGAATTTCTTTGTTATTTTTTTGAGACAGAGTCTTGCTCTGTTGCTCAGGCTGGAGTGCAGTGGTGCAATCTCAGCTCACTGCAACCTCCACATCCCAAGTACAAATGATTCTCCTGCCTCAGCCTCCTGAGTAGCTGGGACTACAGGCTCTCGTCACCATATCAGGCTAATTTTTGTATTTTTAGTAGAGATGGGGTTTCACTGTGTTGGCCAGGCTGGTCTCGAGCTCCTGATCCACCCGCTTCAGCCTCCCAAAGTGCTGGGATTACAGGCATGAGCCACCACACCCAGCCTTCAGTTTAGAATTTTGTCCTGGTGTTCGTGTGGTTTCAGAATTTCAAACAAAATTTCCTCATGGTATGAATGCCTTGGCTTCACATGTATATGATTCAGATGGAATCCTATCAAATTCAATGAATATGAGTCAGTCAGGTGGACTCATTGGGGATATATGATACTCAATTCAAATTCAAAAGCAGGCAAAAGTAAACCACTATATTAAACCGTAGTTACCCCTGGGGTGGCAGTAGGTATTGACCAGTAAGGACACCTTCAAGGTGTTAGAAGCGATGAATATCTTGATCTAGGCTGTGGTTACAGGATTCTGTAATATAAAAATTCATTGAGTTGTACCTTAAAGATAAGCCCACTTGACTACATACGTATTATGCCTCAATTGTTTTAAAGAATTCTTTTTTTTTTGAAGCAGGGTCTCACTCTGTCACCCAGGCTAGGGTGCAGCGGCACCATCATAGCTCACTGCAACCTTGAACTCCTGAGCTCAAGGAATCCTTTCACCTCAGCCTCTCCAGTAGCTAGGATCACAGGTGTGAGCCACCACACCCAGCTAATTTTGTTTTTTTTTTTGTTTTTTTTGTTTTGAGATGGAGTTTCACTCTTCTTGCCCAGGCTGGAGTGCAGTGGTGCAATCTTGGTTCACTATAAACTCTGTCTCCTGGGTTTAACTAATTCTCCTGCCTCAGCCTCCCAAGTAGCTGGGACTACAGGTGCCCACCACCAAGCCCAGCTATTTTTTTTTTTTTTTTTGTATTTTTAGCAGAGACGGAGTTTCACCATGTTGGTCAGGCTGGTCTTGAACTCCTGACCTCAGGTGATCCACTCGCCTTGGCCTCCCAAAGTGCTGGGATTACAGGCGTGAGCCAACATGCCCAGACTACCCAGCTAATTTTTAAATTTTGTATAATGATGGAGTTTTGCTATGATGCGCAGGCTGGTCTCAAGCTTCTGACTTCAAACAATCCTCCTACCTCAGCCTTCCAAAGCACTGAGATTACGGACGTAAGCCACTGTGCCTGGCCAAAAAGGGAATATTTAATGACCTGGAGAAATGTCTGTTATATAAATGAAATTATCTCCATTCAAACTTAGATATTTTGTTCAAACACAGGCTGGGCGCAGTGGCTCACTACTAAAAAATACAAATTAAAAATACACCTCTACTAAAAATACAAATTAGCCGGGCATGGTGGTGCGTGCCTGTAATTCCAGCTACTTGAGAGGCTGAGGCAGGAGAACCGCTTGAACCCGGGAGGTGGAAGTTGTGGTGAGCCGAGATCACCCCATTGCGCTCCAGCCTGGGCAACAAGAGTGAAACTCCGTCTCCAAAAAAAAAAAGAAATTTTGTTCAAACACAGCCACATCTTGCCTCTCCCCATGGTGCTCCTCCCCTCAATGAATATCCCATTAAATTAGGGATCAAAAACAGACAAAACTAATCTGTAAGGTTAGAAGCTAGGAGAATGGTTCCCTCTGGCAGAGTAGTGACTGGGAGGGGCATCATGAGGGCATGGTGCTAGAATGTTGTTTTCTGATCTGAGTGCAATACCCAGCGGTATTCCCTTGTGACAATTCATTGAGCTGCATATTTATATACATTTTTGCATATATCTTATATCACAATAAAAGGTTTATGTAAAACATTTTTTTTTTAATTATTTGCTCTGAAACCTGGCACTGAGCACAGTATGGGTAGTGAAGGGAATCAACGTGGAGAAAAAAATACCCAAACTCCTTTCCCTGGCTTATTACTTCACCCATGCTAAGCAGCTATCTGTCTTTGATTCTGTGCAAATGAAAAATAGGGACTATCTGCTTTTAAAACTAAAACATGACCTATGTGGGTTCTGAAAGATGTTACCTGCCTTAGCATCCAGCTGCCTTTATTTCTTAAGATGCTACAGGCATTGTGCTTTTTCTGAAGGTTACATAAAGATCAAATGTAATAATTTTTTAAAGTTAAAATATTGTTTTGGTATTGTACCTTTTCATTAGAGTAATGGTCAAAATCTTATTTTCTGACTCAGAAACTGAAAGTCAAATACTGCATGTTCTCACTTATAAGATAATAATGTGTACATATGGGCCAGGCGCGGTGGCTCAAGCCTGTAATCCCAGCACTTTGGGAGGCCGAGACGGGCGGATCACGAGGTCAGGAAAACGAGACCATCCTGGCTAACACGGTGAAACCCCGTCTCTACTAAAAAATACAAAAAACTAGCCAGGCGAGGTGGCGGGCGCCCGTAGTCCCAGCTACTCGGGAGGCTGAGGCAGGAGAATGGCGTGAACCCGGGAGGCGGAGCTTGCAGTGAGCCGAGATCGCGCCACTGCACTCCAGCCTGGGCGACAGAGCGAGACTCCGTCTCAAAATAATAATAATAATAATAATAATGTGTACATATGGACATAGAAAGCAGAATAATAGACATGAGTGACTCTGAATGGAGGGAGGCTAGGAAGCGGGTAGGGAATGAGAAATTACCAGATAGGTTCAATGTACATTATTCAAGTGATAGTTACACTAAAAGCCCAGGCTTCCCCATTATGAAATATATCCATGTAACAAAACTGCACTTATATCCCCTACATCTATTATTTTAAATTTTATTTCCATTTTATTTGCAATCCCATCTCAGCCACTTTAATAACTATTAGTTCAATTTCAATTTCAGTGATGAACAGTTTCTAAAAGCAGCTTTAAATTTTGTTTTGTGGTTGTTGTGGCTTTATCTGTCTCGAATTTTTTCTGCCAGGACTTTATAAGGAACTGATTAGTGGAGGTTAAATGTGGCTATGCGTAAAATATATAGGACAAGGCAAAAAGACTCTCAGAATACAATAAATTCCAAATCTAGTTTCTCTTCCTTTGATAATTTATTTTTAAGCTGAGCCTACATGAAAGTATTTTCTAAACACTCTGTTTGCTCTTTCAGCCAAATCTTTTACATTATCATTTTATTTTATTTTGTTTATTTGTATTTATTTATTTATTTTGAGACAGAGTCTCATTCTGTCATCCAGGCTGGAGTGCAGTGGTACAATCTCGGTTCACTGCAATCTCCACCTCCAGGGTTCAAATGATTCTCCTGCCTCAGCCTCCAGAGTAGCTGGGAACTCAGGCGCCCCCCACCACGCCCAGCTAATTTTTGTGTTTTTAGTAGAGGCAGGGTTTCACCATGTTGACCAGGCTGGTAACTCCTGACTTCAAATGATCCACCCACCTTGGCCTCCCACAGTGCTGGGATTACAGGCATGAGCCACTGCACCCAGCCTACATTATCCTTTTAGATACTTACTCAGTAAATTTGTTTTCTAACCACGGGCAAGGTCACATCCATCGCCGCTGTCACAGAGTCGGAATGGATTTCCAGAAACCAGGCTCACTCTTGGGATGCTGTCACAGATGCGTATGTCATTACTTTTGCCAGAAAGAACCTTAAAGGAAACAGGAAAAAATATGCATTAGATCACTAACAAGAACAATAGAAGCCACATCTTTAATAACATGGTACTTCAGATAAATTTAGCACGTGATCCTTTCAAATTATTTTCATTATTGTGGAGAACAATAAAAAGGGTGTGGGTTCAGAAAAGGGTTTTGAGATGGGCCTTGGTGGAGAGGAACTGGCTGCTATTCAGCTAGGGAGTGTCATTTGAGTGAAATGTGTTCCCACAGATTGAGGCTTGTAGCGTCAAATCTGTGATTTTCCCATCCCCAATCTCCATATTTCAGGACCCTCAACACCAACCCTTATAAGCCTCCTAATCAGACACACATAGTGTCCCCAGTCACCGGCCTCCAATCTCCAACCCTCAGAGGTTTTCATAGTCACTGATATTCCCGTATGTTTAAATCTGACCAGGAGAGACTACTGGTCAGTAACTACAAAGCACACTGATCCGATCTGATTGCCAGTGAATTTACACCGCCCCCAATCGTGAACCCACACTGTTCGCCAATGATATCCCAACGACTGAGGATTAATTGTTGATTCTCACAGTCCCACCCCCACCCACAAGTGACAGTCTGAATAACTGAGCCTCATTGAGGCGTACCTTTAAGATAAGCACACTTGACTCTATTCTCCATTCCCTGACCTACAAAAGTCCAATCGTTATTACTCTCCGATCCTCCACCGATGATATGAAGTAAGTCTCAATCACCGATGGCCCAAAACATTTCTCCAAATATTCATCACCACTGACCCCCCTCATAACTGAACCCCAAAGTTTCCACAATCACCAATTCCGGTACCCAAACTATTACTGCCCACAGAACTTAGAACCTCCGATCACTCATCCTCTCGGTCTCAGATCATTAACCTTAAAGTTCTCTAAACCAGTGTCTGAAAAATCCCAATTGACCCCAGACCCATGAAGACCACTATAACTGACCCCATGCACCCTGAAAATCAAGACATTTCACAGAACTCGCATTTATTGATTCCCACACACTCCCAATACATCTTCTTCAGAGACTGTGCCATTGACTCCCGCCAACCTCTGTCTGCCACCACTGAGGCCCCGCGAGGCTCAGAGGTCCAATCTCTTAACCCTTCAGTCCCTTTGTCGTTGACCCTCACGGGCACCCATAACTGACCCAGTCGGCCACCGTAGTCGGCAGCTCACTATCCTTCATCAGTCCCCAGGTTTGACCGTTTCTCAAACCGACCCTTCCCATTTATGCTGCATCCGCGCCCAGAATCTGAAATTGATCGTCCTGCCACACCGCCTCATCGCGGTATAAGGTCGTCCCATCCTCAATGGCCGGTGCGCAGACTCAATTGCGACTTTGAGGCTGTCAGCGGCCACCCGGCAACGTTCCAGAGAACAGGATTCTGGGTTTCTCAAAGCTGTAATGGGAGGTATGATGGCGACGCCCGCTTGACTCCTACCGGGGGCGGCCATGTTTAAAGGTGTGCCGTACCACGGATGATTACGCCCTTTCTTTGCCCGACCAAAAGATAAGGCTATTTTAGGACAAGGAGAAGCAAGTGTCCCTGGATCCCTAAACAGAGATGTCGTCTCTGCTCTTAACTCAGCATCCCAGATGCCAAAACCTCCTGTGACTGACATGGCGGCGCCCAGACATCAATGCTGAGCTTTCTTTGTTTCAAGCAGCCTGATAAGATGGCCGCGAACATTTTTACCGCTTCTTACGTGCAATGGGTGCAGCCTCTCCTAGGAGGAGTTCCCCTATGGCAATGTGAAACTTTTTCTGAGCCAGCTCTGGGAGTTACAGAGCAGCGAAGAGACTCGCTCTTCTTTTAGGGAGACAGAGACAGCCTAAGGAGGGGGCGTGACTTCACGGAAAGGGCGGAGCCGCAAGGAAAGGGCGGGGCTGCCGCAGTGGGAAGAGATCTGAGTTCTTAGCGCATAATGGAAAGGAAATGTTGAAAGCAAGATTTTTTCCTAAGGAGGCTTGTCCGATAAGCCGACCTGAGGGAAGAATATGAGTGCAAGAAGTTTATTTGGTAGGTAGGGGATGGAGAAGTGAGACGGGAGCGATGGGAACTACTATAGAGTGCGTCGGTGAGCCGATTAGCTCGATGATCAATGAGGGCTCTGTCAGCTTGGGAACTCTGGGGGATTGTGTAGAAACAACTTCCAAATTGTCACAACCCCCAGGCCGATGAAGCTGACATATGTCTACACCATCTCTCTTCCCCATTGTTTTAGAGCCACTCCAGAGGTGTTAAAGCTCCAGCACTTCCAGCCTGCCTCATGGGAAGGTCTTAGGCTGAGTCTATAGGTGCCTGCAGTAAGAAGCCAGCGGTCTGCATATGATTGTCCAGGGGTAGTGGCTGGGTACCAACAGCATTCACTACAGGCCTGCCTTGGATACCGCCTAACGCAGTGCTCTGCATACCACAGGTATTGGAACATCTCTAGAAAAGATTGCCTTGTCTTATGAAAATGGCTTTTTAAAAAAATCCTAATTCCAACTGGTTATCCTAGCAACTGATACAGTAACTGACCTCCAAAATGTTTCCCAATGATTCCTACCTCCTACTATTCACACTCTTATGGAGTTCCCTCCTACATTGTACCAGGGTTGGACTGTAAGACTAATAGAATATAGTACCAGTGATAGATGTCACTGCTGAGATTAAATATAATAATAAAAGGCACATTGACTTCTGTCTTAAAGGCTGCTGCCCCCACTTTGAGAGAAGTTAGTTGCCATGTCATGAGGATACCGAGACAGCCTATGGAGAGGCCCATGTAGCAAGGAACTAAGCCCTCCACCCAATAGCCTGGGAGGAGCTGGGGCCTTCCTGTAACCAAGTGGGTCACCCTTGGAAGCACATCTCCCAGCCCCAGTCAAACCTTGAGATGACTGCAGCCCCTGCCAATTATTTGACTGCAACTGCATGAGAGACTCAGTCACAAGCACTCGGCTATAGCAGCTCCTGTATTCCTGACCCTCAGAAAGTATGTGAGATACTAAATTCTTGTTGTTTTGAGCTTCTGAGTTTAGGGTAATTTGCTATGCGTCAACAGATAACTTCAATGCTGTGTTAAATGCTACAGTTGACATTTCTTATTCTTTCTTTTTTTTTCTTGAGACGGAGTTTCACTCTTGTTGCCCAGGCTGGAGTGCATTGGTGCAATTTCGGCTCACCGCAACCTCTGCCTCCTGGGTTCAAGCGATTCTCCTGCCTCAGACTCCTGAGTAGCTGGGATTACAGGTATGCGCCACCACGCCTGGCTAATTTTGTATTTTTAGTAGAGATGGGGTTTCTGAATTCTTTAAATACAGTTTCTAAAGTTGTGAGATAATTCTGTCAGAGGGAGATTATTACCAGTTTCCTCTTTTTCCTTGTGATGGAAAAATTAAAAGCCTATGGCACTGCTAGATTTTTAAAATTTAACAAAGATGTCAAGGGTCCTTGCTTCATTTGATTTAACATTAATATAAGTGGTTTATATGACAACACTTTGAAGTGACTATAGTAATTAATTTAAAATCACCATTTAGGATGCGCATGGTGGCTCACACCTGTAATTCCAGCACTTTGAGTGTTGTAACCAAGTGACTTATAGAGAAACGCCACACTCTGAGACTAATTCAGGAGTCCTTTTATTGCCAGCGACCGAAACATGGCTAGAGCTCAAAATTCTCTCAGTCCCGAAGAAGGGGCTAGATTTCTTTTTATGCCGTGGTCTAAATAGGGGAGGGGGAGTATAGCTGAAGCAATTTTTACAGAAGCAGAACAAGCAAACAAATTTAAAAAGATTAACTGCTTACAGTTACAGAAAAGTAAACAGTTCCAGGTGCAGGGGCTCAAACTATCACAAAGAGATAATGCAGAGGCTTTGGGTACCATCCCCCGAGCACGTCCCCAGGAACTGCTGGTTCAGCTTGTCTCAATATCTCATCAGTAAGCACATTCCTGGATGAGCTTGGAGTCAGCTTGCACTAGTTATGTCCTTAAGGGATGGGGGGATAAGGGGGATGCAAGTGAAGAAACAAAAATGGGGTCTGTCCAGCTCTCTCGGCTAAGAGAGACAATCAGGTTAAAACAAGGTAGAGTATCACATTCCCCACTCATGTTTTGGGGAATCAAATCATTGATTCCTCGGTTATAACTAGGGGTTTATATTGGATCCTAAGATACATAAGTTTCACAGAAGCTATACACTGCTTTATAAAGTTAAGAAACCAATTTAATATACAAGACCCGAAAACTAAACCTAACAAGAGGAGGAGAAGGGATCCTGCCAATCCAGTAATTAGAGGATTCAGCCATGCATTCCAGTTAAACATGTTTTGGTACCAGGGGTGTTATTTTCCTGTTCTTGCTGGCGTCTATCTAGATTTTTTCAAAATCTTTGGAGAGGATCCTTTATGACTCCAGACTGATTGGCATAGAAATGACAACTCTCTCCTAGAGCTGCACATAACCCTTTTTGGGAGAGAAATAGCAGATCCAGGCCTCGGCGGTTTTGAAGGACTACTTCCGCTAGAGACTCTACCTGGGAATGCGGCATATTTATGGCTGATTGGAGATTGCTTAAATCAGCATCTACTTGTTGAGACAGGGACATTAGTCCAGCTTCTCTCTGAACCAGGGCAGCCATGCCAATGGCTGCTGATCCAGCTATGCTAAGGCTGGCCAGAAGGGGTACAAGGAGTGGGGCGGCTCAGCGAAACCTGGAATGTAATTCAGGGGGAGCGATGAGAAGTTGCCCTTCTGGCCCGCTGTACACACAGACCTAGGGGAGCACATGAACCAACACGCACAGGAGAGGCCCAGGTTCAGTCCCATTGATGCAGCGAGTGAGGCCTGAAATATGGGCCAACCAGGTATTGTTAGGTGTCTGGTAGGAGACTGAGGTGTTTAAGGAAGTAAGTAGAGATTGATTACAGGTGGCCTGAAAGGGAGAAGCAGACAAGTTATACCTGGTGCTAATTAGACAGGAGGCGTTTCCTGACACGTATCCTAGTGTAAGGGCATGGGGGCGTGTACGACAAGGAAGAGAGTCAATTTTAGCCTGGCTTCTACTCCTAAACCAACATAATATGGGGGTTTTGCTTTTAGGCACAACCAACAATCTTGGGCTAGTTTAGGCTGGGTGAGATTAAGGAGGTAACGTACCCCGTCCAGAATGGACATTAGGCTGGGCTAGAGATGTAGTCATGGTAGCTGAGATTTAGGAACCTGGAGAGGCGGTGGGATGGTTAAATCGACCCTGTCTGGGTGTCTTTGGAACACAGGGTCACCTAAATCAGTTAAAGGACCAATTTGCTTAGGAGGGCTCCATGGGACCAGGATTTTTTTCTGGATGGTGAACATAGTTCCAACATCAAATCCCGAGATATACAGCCTTAATCCCCACGACATGCCATAATACCATTGAGCCGAACCAGGGTTACGGACAGTTATAGTAAGAGGGTTACAATTTTCTATAATACACAGTCTAGGATGGGAAATGCGAGTTATGGAGAGGGTTGAGAACCGGGTTGATCCTCCAGGCTAAGTGGCTAGGGTTACACACGACCAGTGAGGGCAGAAAAACTGGTAAGAATCTCAACAACTAGAGTCAGGGTGATTTCCAGGACAGAGGTAAAAGTCAGCATTCTGGAGTCCTTTTTCTGCACCTTCAGAGCTTCCACATCCAGTCCGGCTTCCTGTGTGTCCGAACCCTGCAGCAAGGTCGATGTTCCCCACTCCCATGACCGGCAAGTGGTGGTGTTCTTCCTGGGTACTGGCAGGCTCTGGGAACAAAGCACATAAATCGACTGCAAAAGAGACTTCCTTGGAGGTTCCTGCCTTCCAAGTGGTGTTTGCAAACATACGTCCTGTTGTGAAAGAAGTGAGAAAAGAGTAGAGGGGGCAGAAGGCATAATAGGCAGAAACAAACAGAAGAGGTAAATAAAGAGAATTAATCTGATGGCTTCCCTCGACTTAGGTGCAGTTTTAAGGGGCCTGGCCCAGGCTTGGGGACCCATGTTTCTTGCTGGGCTTTGTTGGCTTTTTTGATGCGAGAGTGATGAATCCAAGCAGAAATCCCATCCACTTTCAGAGCTGTTGGCGTGGTGAGGATGACAGTATGAAGTCCTTTCCAGGCAGGAGTGAGTCCTCCTTTCTGCAGCCTTTTAACATACACCAGGTCACCCGGCTGGAAAGAGTGGCAGGGCCCCGTCTGGTCAGGAACTGGATTGGGGTGTGCTCCCTGGACAAGCAGCTAGATGATGTCCTGTACCTGTTGGAGAGACTGCAGGTACTGTAACAAATTAGCTTGTGAGATTTCTGCTAAATGGGTATCTCTTAGCTTAGGCAAGACAGGTGGAGCCCTTCCATACATGATTTCAAAAGGTAAAAACCCAGCCCGGTAAGCGGTGCATCTTACTCTAAGAAGGGCTAAAGGAAGGAGCTTTACCCAATCCTCACCAGTCTCTAGGATTAATTTTGTAAGAGTACTTTTTAGGGTGCGGTTCATGCGTTCTACCTGTCCAGAGCTCTGAGGTCGATAGGCGCGATGGAGTTTCCATTGAATGTTTAATGCCTTGCTGACCGACTGAGCTATGGACGAGGTGAAGGCTGGTCCATTATCAGACCCTATGGCAACAGGCAACCTGTGTCAAGGGATGATTTCATTTAGTAAAAGCTTATCTACCATGGTGGCAATTTCGTTTCTGGTGGCAAATGCCTCAGTTCATCCGGAAAAGGTGTCTACTAGCACCAGGAGGTATTTATACCCTGGTTTTTCTTCTGCAAAGTCAATTTCCCACTTTTCTCCTGGTGAGCCTCCCCGGAGGCGGTGGCCTGAGCTGGGCTTGGGACCTTGTTTGGCGTTTACCTGAGCACAAGCCGTACACAGGAGAGCTGCTTGGTTAGTTAAGTCCTGAAGGTGAGGGATCTTGAAATGGCTCCTTAGAAGCTGGGCCAGTTTTACTCCGCCCAAATGGGTGGTAGAATGCAGACGATTGATTAAAGTTTCCTGAGGGCTCAGGGCATGAAAATTCTGGAATCAGGAAGAATCCACCAACCTTCTTGATTTTCACTGGCTTGAAGATCTGAATCTTGTATTTCTTCTTCTGGGGGGTATTCTGGGTGGTCTGGTAAGTCAGACTGCAGAAAGGACACAGCGGGCAGTAGAGTCAAAGGCGAGACTGGGAGCCGAGCTGCCCCTCGAGCTGCAGAGTCGGCTCTTTGGTTACCACGGGCAACGGCCATGTCTTCTCATTGATGTCCTTTGTAGTGAATTACAGCCACCTGCTGAGGAAGCCAAACAGAGATGCACCACGACGCCCGGCTAATTTTTGTATTTTTAGTAGAGATGGGGTTTTACCATATTAGCCAGGCTGTTCTCGAACTCCTGACCTCAAGTGATTCGCCTGCCTCAGCCTCCCAAAATGCTGGGAT